GGCCACCTCATCCAAGCCCACGGGCTCTGGGTCAGGCAGTGTTGTACGTCTGTGCCTCGCGTGGGCTTCAGATTGCTACTAAGGCTGATGGCGCTGAGTCCTGGATCCCGCCTCCCCACAGAGCTGTTTCTCTCAGAGGTTTGCTCTCTTCCTGTCATGCTCCCAGGACACTGAACCTTGCCAGTCGTAGAACCCCTGGGCCACCACCATGTTCTAGCTCTGAAGACCATCCCCTCTCTGTTATGGGTTGTATTGTGTCCCCTCCAAAATAGATGTGTTGAAATCCAGGATCTCAGAATGTGACCTAATTTGGAAATAAAGTAATTGCAGATGTAGTTAATTAAATTAAGATGGGGTTATACTGGAGTAGGGAGGGCCCCTAGAAGAGGAGACATGGAGACATGGAGATACAGAGGGACGCCATGTGACAACAGTGACAGAGATTGGAATTAGACAGCTAGCTGCAAGCCAGGGAATGCCAAAGGTTGCCATTCCCAGCAAACCACCAGAAGGTAGCAAGAGACAAGGAAGAATTTCCCCACAGATCTCAGAGGGCACATGCTCCTGCCGACACCTTGATGTCGGACTTCTGGCCTCCAGAATAGTGAGACAATACATTTCTGTTGCTTTAAGCCATCCAGTTTGTGGTACTTGTAACAGCAGCCCTTGGAAAGGAGTACACCCTTCATCCCAGGGTTGGCAACTTTCTTGTCCCTCAGACACATGTCCTGAGGGGCCTGTGAGCATGGCCTCTCCTCCGTGGGCATGTGGAATCATTCTGGTGGTGGATGCCCTCTTCAGAGGGTGTGTTGTAAAGGCGATGCTGAGGCCAGCCACTTCTGTTGTCCAATCCTGTTATTTATTTCTGTCACCATTGAGTTTTAAGAAAAGGTGCATTGGATGAGCAGGTGACCAGGGCTTGTTAAAGTTTGGAGCCAACATCCAAATGCATGAACTTTCCTTTCAGTGTATTTTTCCACTGTAGAGACCAAACTGAGGCCCAGGTTTGATCAAAGATATTTCTCAGAATGCTGACAGAGCAGAGCTCTCTGTGGGAAATGTAAGACTTGTGAAAGTCAAATGTTTGTGAAATGCAAACTCTTTTGTATTTTTGTGGCACATGGCAGCCATAATCAGGGCATGAGCTATGGGATAAAGAAAACCACCAGTCAGCTTCCTTGTCCTTTGCATATACAGAGAATAGTGCTGGGATATTGTTTCACCTAGCCTCGGGCTGTGTGGGCACTGGGCGTGTAGCTCTGAGTTTTGGTCTTTCTCTCCCTGGTGCCCTTTCCAGAAAGTTTCAGCCTTGAATTTCTCACCCATGAGCTTTCAACCACTTGTAGCATTAGGATTCCGTGTCTGGCTGCACCTTATGGTCTTTAGCAGCTGGGCTGTCACTCAGGCCTTGGAGAGGGACGGCTTTTAGACTGACTTCAGCTTGTATGGACTTAGTCCTGGGCTGCAAGTCTGTTCCTGCTCCGTGAACTGAGGTGAACGTGGGGAGGGGCTATGCTGAGAAGAGATGAGGTCTTAGGGCTCTGAAGAAAGAGAGGAATTTCTCCAGAATTGCCAATGGGCCATACAAGTTATGGTCAGAGAGCGAAGCTACAAGCAAGAGAAGGAGGACCGAGCCTCAGTTCTGAGATTCCATCTTAGACGGTTAGTCTTCCGGGAACTGCTCATTGAATAGGTACTCTGTATCAGGGGCCATGTGCTGAGAAGAGTGATGAACAAACCAGGCCGAAATCACTCAAGTGGGCTGCAACAAGAGCATAAGCAGGAAGACGAGGCAGGAGGTCCTATGCTGGGAGGATTAGAAACAGATTGGGGAGTGGGGCGCTCTGGATCCGGACAAGTGATGCAGGACAGAGAGAGGCTGCACAGCGCTGGTGGCACGTGTTCATGGAAGGCTGGCAGTGGGCAAAGTTAAAGTCCCCTGTTAAGGCTAGATGGTGGCCATGGCAGATCTCATTGATCATTCTTCTGGATGTTTCCAGTGATGGGGATGGAATTAATAAAATCTTCAGCTAAACAGCATCTTCCTGTGAGATCTGAAGAAATAGCAGACACATAAATAGAAAGAGAAGGGGTAGAAAGAAGAAAGGCTGGTACTGGCCTCCTGGCTGCCAGTACTCATCACCACAGAGCACGGCCTCTACTTGGGTGCTTGGGGAGTGACCACCCACACAAAGCCTGTCTTTTCAGTTGCCACACAGCATGCGAGCAACATGGTGGCTTCCTGGGGTCCCACACACTGGTTTCTGTATTGGGATGTCTGTGAGAGTCCAAGTGCTGGCTTCTGACATTGGTCAGCGTGGGAGATGTCCATCACACTGACTGGCGTGCAAGTCCGCATGTGGGCAATCTTGACCCTCATTTTAGGGTTCCCTGTCGCCCAACAGGCCCTACTGTGCTCTAAATGAAGAGCTGCTGTGTGTCCTAGGGGGTAGTGTTGGCAACACCTACTGCCTGGTTTGTGCCACAGGCAGGCTGCCATGGGCAACACCCTGCTGGAGGAATGCATTAGCCTGAAGAAGCAACCTCCAGGGAAGCCCTGTCTTCTCTACAGAACCTTCTGGTCTTTTACACAAATGCCTAATTCAGGCGACCTGAACCAACCATTCGTTTTAATCAGAGGTGTGAGCTAAGCGGCACACACACACACACACACACACACACACACACACATGCACACACACACACATGCACACACACATGCATGCACGCACACACAAGATCTTTGGGGTTCACCATTGGCCATATGTTTCTGCAGGCTGTTAACTGCCATTATTCAGTCTGCACTGTAACAACCAGACACATCCCTTCCTAAGACACTGTGAAGAGCAGGATGCTGGTTTGGCTCTTTGCTCTTAGACGTCAACTCCAGCCAAGAGGATGCTTGTCTGCTGCAAGCCAGGAATGGGCCCCTCACTTTGGAGCCCTCATGTTTTGTTCTTTTCCATCAATACTGTTTTATTAGGTTATTTCCTTCTAAATGACTCACAGACAGGCAGTGTTTGTGGGAGGGATGCACGTGTGTGCGTGTGTGCACGTGTGTGTGCGTGTGTGTGTGTATTAAGCCAGGATCCTGGAACGAGGGAGAATGAAGTGTCGAAGCACAAATGGTTTTGGTCTGGAGCTGCCCTTGGTATTGGTCGCCTCCCCTCACTCTTCAGGCCTTTAATTGTGCCTATTTAAATCGGAGCACACTTCTGGTCCATATGTATAAAATTTAACTTTGGCTCATTCAGTTGGGTCCTGAGCTTGGAAATTTTTAGCTATGGAGAAGGCTTTTTTCTTTTTTAATTAAAAACTTTTTGAGATTCCATGCAGTTGTAAGAAATAATACAGAGAGAGCCTCTACAAGCTTGAGCCAGGTTTCCCCCGGTGACAACATCTTGCAAAACTGTAGTAAAATCTCACAGCCAAGACCCTGACAATGACACAATTGAGACACAGAACAGCTCCGTCCCCACAGTGACCCCCACCCTCCACTCTGACCCCACTCCATCCCTAGCCCCCAGCAACCATGACTCTGGTCTCCTGTTCTGTTGTTTTGAAACATGTTTTTGTTTTGTTTTGTTTTTTATCAAGCCAATCTCAGTGCAGTTGACTGTATTCCTCACTCGTGTCCTAAGCCCTCTGCTATTTGGCTAGATATAAAGTTAAAAGCTATTCTCCATGCTCTTACACAGTCAGCATTGTGCTGTGGTGATAGTAATGTGGGCTCTAAGAGCAGAACCCTACCTACAGGAATGACTAGCCAGGTGATCTAAGCAAGTTACTTAACCTTTGTCCACACAATGGGGGTGATAATAATAGCACTTAGAGGGGTGTTAAGGGATTAACTGAGTTCATAGATCCAAGTACTAGGGACAGTGGTTCTCAAGCTTTACTGTCACATACATCACCTGGGATCTATTATGGGGCCCGAGAGTCTGCAAGTCTAACAAGCTCCCAGGTGATGCTGACTCTGCTGGTCCTCAGGCCACACTTTGCAGCCAGGACTTAGAAGCCTGCCTGGTACAGAGTACGCGCTTCAGAATGGTCGGTTATGTTTTCCCAGTGTGAGTCTGAAGCCATGCTGGATAGAACTCGGAAAAGTGAGCCTGAGAGCTTCAAGGTTCAGAGCCTGGAATGCCCCTAGCTTTGCCAGTCCCAGGGCCAGACTGGACTCCGAGAATGAGGCTGATGGTCACACTTAACTGTTAAGTGTGGGTATGCCCCTGGCCCCAAATCCTCATCCCGTGCTGTTTCCTATAGGAAGAGACACGCCCCGGGAGTCACTTCCCTCTTACTAGCCTCTCCTGCCTCCAGAAATGCAGCTCCTGCAGGCTGCTACCTTCTTTACCTGGGCAGGCAGATGGGGATGAGAGAAGCAAGACCACCTGTACCCAGGTGGCTGTGAGCAACTCTAACCTACCAAAGGTTGGCTTGCGGCTCATCCATCAGGGACAGTAATAGGAATGATAGCTGTGTCCTGGGAGCAGCCCTACGGTGTTTCCTCTCCCAGGGAGCCTCTGTGCCATGGTTACCAGTCCTGAGCTGGAACCCCGGGGGAAGGTGAGCAAGTTGGGAATGCCATTTTCCAGGCATTAAATCCCACAAGTGACACAGCGTGGTTGTAAAAATGCAAACAACACCTAAGTACACCAAGTTAAAAGTGTCACCTGTCTTTCCTTCCCTTCCCCCATGGTCCCCTCAAGGAGTAACCACTATCAACCGATTGGTGTGTATCTTCCCGTATATATACATTTCTATGGGCACACACATAAATATTAATACAGACACAGCAATGAGTCATACTATACATATTGCCTCACAATTTCACCTTGCTCTTTTTACTTCAAAATAAATCCTGGCCCTTTTTTTCCATATCAGCGTGGAGACCTGCCTCATTCCTCTTCACAGCTACGTACAACAGTACCGATATGCCACAGTAAAGTCATGCTCTACTGATGAACATTTAATTTATCTCTAAATTCTTAACTTTACAGGTTGCAATGAACCTTCTCTAGGACAGGTGCCTGAAAGAGGAATTGCTAGAGCAAAGAGTAAGTACATTTATATTTTTGATAGGTGGTAACCACTTAAAGGCTTGTACCCTCCACTGTTTCCCTTCTGCTTATAGTGTATGTGCGTCCACTCCATACATCCCTGCTATTGCAGGGTATTATCCAGCTTTCTCATTTTTGTCAGCCTGCTGGGGGAGAGATAACGTCTTGTGCTTGTTTCAAGTGGCATTTCTGCAATCACTGGACAGTCTGAGCATCCCTTCCAATGTTTATTTGCCATCTGCAGCTCATGAAATCAGGTTGCTAGCAGCCCCCTGGCCAGGAGCTCAGCTCACCACTGAGGAGGCACTACCGAGAACGTCGCTGGAGGAGGTGAGCAGCATTTATTTGTTTAACGTAAAGAGTCTGCTGCAGAAGCAGTCCTGCAGCTCGTGTTGGAAGAGAGAAGAACGCTTCCCTGTGACACCAGACTCCTTCTGTGCTGCTGTTAATTGTCATTCTGTGTCTGCAACGGTGCAGCTCCAGCCAGCCGGCCTGTGGCCAACAAGAGGGCCATTCATGAATCCGCATGATTTTGAGGCAGAGTGATGTGGCCCATGGGAAGAGCCCCGGGACTGGGGCCAGCAGACCCAAGTTCAAGTCCCACCTCTCCCGGTGGAGGGCACGGATCACCTTTCCTCGGCTCTCTTTCCCTTTCCCATCTTGCAGCTTTGACCTGCCTCCCCCACCCTCCTGAGGCCTCACTGCACCCTGGGCCTCTGTGGCACTGTTTGTGCCAGCCTCTGTGATCAGCCTTCTCCTTTGCCCTTGCAGGGTCCTCATCTGAGAGTCCTCCATGCCCCTCTCTATACATTCAGTTCCTCCCAATAGCACCCACTGTGGCAGCTGCAGTGTGTCGCCACCCAGCTGATCCCCAGCTGAGCGCTGTCCTGGACCCCAGCTCACATCCCCCTGCCTCTGCAGCAGTGCCACTTGGTGCTGTGTTCCCAGGAACGCTCGCAGTGTCCACACCTGAGCATGTTTCTCCCCAAAGAGTCTCCTCTGGTGTGCCGTATCTTTGTTAATGGTGTTGACTAGACAGACAAGCCCAACACTTCAAGAGTCAGCTGTTGGGTCCTCCATCTCTGTTGCTGGAAATTTTTTCGTGACTCCCCGTTGCCCACTGAATGAAATCCGGGCTCTTTGGACTTTTCCCTAACTTCTTATTTTCCTCCACTAATTTCCCTGCGTGTATCCTACAATTACTCAAATAATTACTTACTTTCAGGTCTCTGCCCCTAGAGAACAGGGGTTTTCAACATTTACATTTTGAGACAGGTAGTTCTTTGTGATGGGGGGCTCTTTTGTGTATTGTAGGATGTTTAGCAGCACCCCTACCCTCTACCCAGCAGCATCACCTCCTTAGTTGTGACAATTAAAAATGTCTCCAGACATAGTCTAAAGTTCCCCTGGGAGACAAAATTGCCTCCTGTTGAGAACCACTGATGGAGATTCATGTTTTACGTGCATGGAAAACCCTCTCCCTTATCCCCCCACCCCTAATTTGTAATTTAGTGATAAATTCAAAAAAGCGAATTGTAGAAATGTATACACTGTGGTTGCTATGTGTGCGAATACATGAGGACTGGACTAGAATATGCAAAGATGGACATGGTTATGTAAGCTGTGTTTCCTTAGGCTACCCTGTTGGGAGTTAAACATGGGGCCACTTTTTATAGAACCAAACTACATTCGGCTGCCTCTCATCACCACCTGCCATCGTAAATTCTGATCCCAGAAGCTCCTGGGAGCACTTCACCTCCAGCGGCTTCATATAGAATCCCATGAGAGATAAGTTGCCTCTCCCACGGAATCCGCCCCTGGCCTCAGACTCCTGTCCAGCTGTGTGATGCCCATCTGCGAGGCACCAGCCAAGCACTGAGGATCTCCACCAGGCACACTGATCCTGGGGGTCTCGAACTCTCATGGTGCCACCGTCTCTTTGTGTTCCCTACAGAACTATGGGCAGGTGATTTTCATGAAACTGCTCTATGTGCTTAGACAGGTACCCATGAAAGGCTGGGCTGGGACTCAATGCAAGGGATAAATACCGTGACAGACTCATTATTCTGACTTCTTGGCTTTGTTACTGTCCCAGGGGCCATGCCTGATGCTCCCCCAAAAGGCTCCTGGTGGCGTGCTCCAAAGCTCTGCAGACATGCCCAGTGGTGAGCATGGTCCAATCTGCAATGGACGCTCCATTGCAACAGAGGGCGGGATTATGATTGACTTTTTTTTGTATCAAATTTTCTTAAACACTCTTGCTATTCTTTTTTTTTTTTAATGTCTGATCCATCCTCAAGCCTCTAAGACTTCTGAGTTTCCTTCCATTAGACCTCTCTTCTCCCAACAGGATGGCATGTGGCCTCTTATTCTCCTCCAGGGCCCTACACTTTGACCCTCACATGGGACCTGGAATGGGTTCCGCTCTGTAGTATGGTATATGGGCACTTCTCCCTGCCCCCGCCCCCCAATGTGTATACTCCTTGAAGACACAGAGTGCCTTAAACCCACTGTGGGTGCCATTACTGTTGGGCAAAACTCCAGCTATATGACTGGACTCCACGGGCACATACATGACATGAGCTAGGAACAGAGCTGAATTGTAGGTGACACAACACCCTTCCATACGTCCAGGACATGGAGACCTTTGACCTGCTCTGCCACCATTTCATTGGGACCCGGGCCAGCTCTCATAACTCCTCCATTGCACTGTCCCATCCATAAAATGGGGGAAACAGCCCCTATCCCAGGGGTCTGGCAATAATACTCTGTATTTAAGTGCACTGACCCACTGAGAGGAAAACTTCTCCATTTGTTTAAAGACTATTTTCAGTAACCTGTGCATTTTAAACCAGGAAATAGTGGTGTAGTTTTTCAGTAAAATACCCCAGTGATCGTCTGTCTTCAGATATCCCTCACATAAAGAGCTTATGTTCAGGAAGGACTCAGCAGGTTGGAAGTGAGGATTGAAATCCAACTCCAGTCACTCCCGAACTAGATCCCTCTGCTCCTCAGGTGTTTCTCTGCAGTCCTGGGAAACTTCTAGAAGCAGGGACCAAACACCAGGGCCCTCATTCCAGGACACGAGGGCTCTGCAAAGATTTAGGAAGAGCTTTGATTTCTAATAGAAGTCTGTTGTTCAGGAAATCAGAGAAGGATCATTTAGGGGCAAGGAACTTCATTCAGGAGCCCCGCTGAGGGTTGTGAGGGGTCGGGGGACTGTAGGTGATGTTTATTGGGAAAAGGAAGGGGTTCCTCCTTGCTGATTTTGGAGGGCCAAGGGCACAGAGGGTGGTGACCACGTTGAAGGGAGAAAGGCGCTTGGGTGGGAAATAGAGCTATGGCAATGCCTTGCTCATCCAGGATTATGGGAGTAAGGCTTACCATGAGTGGATTTCCCAGAAAATCGAATATGAGCCCTGTGAGCAGATTTTGAAAAAGTAAAATCATTTGGGAAGGAAATCTTTCTAAGGGATGGTGCACCTTTTCTGGCTCCTTAAAGGGAATACGTGGCACAGCCTTTTGCTTCTTCCAAAGTTCAGCTTCACAGCCCATCACGTGCACCCTGAGCTTTAGCTGTTCTCGTCAGTTCTGAAACATGCCCGCTGCTCTTCCATCTGTGAGCTCCAGGGCCCCTGTGTCCGCATCCGATGTGTCTTCAACCCTGGATTCTCCTAAACGTGCTCTGCTTGGTGTCTAGCAGACACAGTGAGAGCCAAATACACATCTTTGATAAATGACTTAGGGCCGTCACAACCCCTGCCATTATCAAGTTCTGTCCAGTTGGCAAAGCACCCTCATTATCTGTTTTTAAATAGCGATGTCCTCAGGGGCATCCATGAGCGGAAAGTCCTGTTCATTCATCACTTACTCCACAAACATTGCCCTGCCTCTCCTTTTGTCCTAACACAATGCCAGGCATCAGAGGCGTAAAGATGAATCAGACCTGGTTCCTTCCCTCAAGGAACTCATGATCTAAAATGAATATAAAGAAAAGGGGGCACAGTTCAGTGTGGCAAGTGCTGAGCTGCGGTGTGACCCACCTGCCATGGGGCATAGAGAAGAGGGTGGTTCCCAACACTGAATGGCCGAAGACAAAGGGGTTTTTTGGTTTTGTTTTTTGGGTTTTTTTTTTAAAGATTTTTATTGGGGAATTGGGGGGATGGGAACAGTGCTGGGGAATTGGGGGAAGGGGAACAGACAAGTTGCTGTCGTTTTGTTCTTCAGTCTAGTTGTGGAGGACGACAAAGGTGTTTTTAAAATTCTCTCTGCTTTGCATCATTCTTCTCTTTTTTTCTCACTGGTATCCCTGGTACACCTACTTCCTTACAGCATTGGGTTTCACATCAATCTGGTTGCACATTACAGTCACCTGGGAAGCCAATTCATCCCCATACTGTGTTCATGCTCAGAGATTCTGATCTAATGAGTCTGAGTAAGTACCAAACTCCCAGCTGATACTGATAGGCAGCCAGGGTTTAGGGCTGTTTTAGGGGCAATTCGGAATTTATGGATTCTGACAAGGCTTGGGGATGGCCCTTATGTCACCTGTGGAATTAAGTGCATGGACTTTGTGACAGCTTTTCCCTAAGCACAGAATCTATTTTTAAATCTCTGGGGTGTGAAGACATAGTCAGGGCCTCTCTACAAGTTGCAACAGCCAAGAGTCCAACAGTGGAGCAGCCCAGCACCAAGAAATAGCCCCATCCACACTCCAAGATGTCCTGACACGTCACAAGCAGTCATGATGGTGGTTGAGGTTACTCCTAACCAGATGTTTAAAATCTCAGCTACTCAATGTTGGTGCAAAGCAGGGAACAGAGATTTTATCCAAACAGCCAAAGCATTAAAACTCAGAAGTTTATAAACTTGAGAAGCTCTAAGACCTATACTGTTTGAATACTGAATGTGAGCTAATTATATACCCAGAAAAGTAAAATATCAACTGACACCCGTAAAATATATCTAGGAGGGCAAAGTTACCAAAGTAGTGACAATCTGCCACCTTCTCATTTCTGAAAGGTCTTCCCTCAAAAATCGGCCTCCTCAGGCTTTGGTTCCATGCAGCTGTCAGTGATGCAAGTCCATGTATAATAGCAGCCACCTGGTGCTGTTTGACCTGCTTGTATCAGGTGATTTCAGTCAATTGGCAGACGCTTATTGAGCACCCACTGTAGGCCTGGCACAGAGGGACAGGGACATGGGTCTGCAGATGTTGTCCTGGAGGCACTTGCTATCTCATGTGAGACAGACTTACTTTTCTAACATCCGAAGAGTGAAATCATAACACTGGAGCTAACTCACAGCCGTCTCCTCAAGCCCACGGCCTCACACCCGAGCAGCAAACAAGGGTTGAAGACATCAGGGAGGCAGGAAGTGCTTACGGCTCTGTTCCCTGAGCCTGAAATGCAGGGTAATTAGCACGCCTCCCTTGCATTCATCCAGGAATGGGTAATGAGAATATTAAACAGTGATTTAATGCAACAGGTATGTTGGGAGCATCAACTCTGTGAGGAGGGAGGCAGAGGTGAAATAGCTCAAGGAAGTCAAAGCTCTGACGGAGGGAAGACAAGTGCTTGGGTGATTCTAATGTCAAGTAACAATAATAATAATGGCAGCTACCCTTCAGTGAGTGCTCAGTGAGTGCTGGGCCCAGTGCTAACTGCTTGTCATGCACGTATATCGCGCTCATTCTGTGATGTCAATACACTCACCGTCATTTTATCTTTGAGGAAACAGGCTGTGAGAGGTCAGCTGGGTGAGAGAACACTTCTAGGTGGGTTGGATTGGGCTCTCCCAGAAGCAGACCCCACGACAAAGGTTTGAGTGCAAGTAGTTTATTGGGAGGTGATCCCAGGAAGCACTGGTGGGGAGTAGTGACAGGAGAAGGAAGGGAAGGACGCCGAGTAAGGGTCCGTAAGCAAGAGGTTTCCCCTCGGCAACTGGATGTCAATCCCACGGGACACTCAGTGAGCTAACGCAGGCCACGCCTCAGTTATCCTACCTGAGTGGTAAAGAAGCTAGAGCTATTTGTCACCATGCCACCACCTGTTGCTAGTAGAGGGGCGTTAACTCTCAGGCACTCTGGCTGCTACAGAAAGGGCTGGAGCAGAATCTAGGTGGGTGCAGTGCGCTAAGCCCAGCTCCGGCTGTGTTCTCCGGAGGGAGGTCCAGGGATGCAGGACAGTCATGCAGTCCTCGTCCCACCCATGCTGGGGAGGCAGCGTGTTGTGCGTCAGCTTGGAGACCCACACCACTACCTCCTCTTCAGAATTAGACGCCACTGGGCTCCACAGGGGTGAGTTCAAACCCAGCAGAGAGGAACTTCTTACCCATACGTGGCCATGGCTGCTTTGCAAGCCTTCCCTCCATGCAGGATCAGATCCCAGCAATTCAGAGGACAACGATCTGGGAGTTTGTTAGTGAGCTGGTGCAGAAGCCTTTGTAGACAAGTTTTTCGAGCTCGGCTGGATTTCAGGGCAG